TAAGTTCATTCCTGTGATCGGTTAGAAGTTTTCTGTACTTCGGGATTTTCATTTGTTTCTTTTTTAATTTCCTTCTTTTATTTTATAAGAATAAATATTCTTATATTCTAAGAAATATAAGAAATTCTTATATTCTAAGAAATCTCTGTCTTTCCCTTCCCCCCTTTTTTAAACCACTAAGCCACATCCCAGTCCTTTTTATTTATTATTTCGAGACAGGGTCTGCTAAGTTGTATAGGGCCTCATATGTTGCTGAGGCTGGCCTCAAACTTGCAATGCTCCTGCCTCAGCCTCCTGAGTCACTGGAATTACAGGCATGCCCCAGTTTAAGAAAACTCTTAGGAAGCAACAAATGTCTCTTACTTTGCATCTCTCACAAAACTCATCACTAAGTACAAATCAGTGTTTGCTGAATGAACCCATGAATGAATGAGTAAACATATTCTGTGATCTTCCTCAATCCCTGCTCTTCTTCCCCCAAATTCTAAAGTTTTGCTATTAAAAAGATGGTCAAACTTAGTATGGATATATAATAAAAAAATAAGATACTAAAATCAGTCACTACATTTGTACTTCAATTTTCTATTATGCTGAAATAAAAATAGGAATTCTGAATAAATGCAGAACAGACCATTTTGTCTGGCAGCAAGATGAAGGAGAAGCCAGGGTACTGAGAATGCCTGCAAATAACATCACCACACACTATCAGTGATCTTTGAGGGAACTGTGGAGAACAGGACACAAGCCAAAAAGCTGGAGACAGGCAAATGTTGTTCTGATTTTCAAAAGAGGAAAGAAGTTATAGCTTGCCAGTTCCCGAGAAGGCAACATGATGTCACTGTCAAGCAAGGTTCTTGAACAGATTTGTAAAGGGACACATATAAGCACCTAGCATAGGAAGCAAGCTCCATTTGGAACCAGTACAGGGTCTCCAAGAACAAGTCAGATTAAATTCATTTCGATTTATTCTCCGTGACAAGACTCCTAGCCTAGTAGATTAAAGAAATATAGCAGACATAATATATGTGATGCAATAAGGAATGAGCAGCAAAAAGGGCTAATTCAACCCTTGGGCTATGTTAATGGAAGTATTACAGAAAGCATAAAGAGATGATAGTTTTCTTTCTTTGATCATGTCTAGGAAAATCACATGTAGACCTTAGTTCTACTCTAAAAAGAAGATACTGATAGTAAGCTCTTTTGGAGGTTCTTTTGGCAAAACCTCTCTAAAAACATGAAACTCTCATCTGGATTACCGGCATATGAATATCTGAAAGATCTGGTGGGGCCTACATTTCTAAATGGCAGCATCTAGTTGAACCCAAGTATGACTGACCATTCAGACAGGACATGTGCTCTCAGGTCCACCATAATTGTCACTACCCCTTCTTCTACTGCTGTCAGTGAAGTGGTGGACCAACTGCTACAACTCATCTCATTGGCCAGCTTCACTCATTTATTCTATCTGCCAAGCACCAAAGACAGTGGGATTTGCAACCTAGGATGCAGCGAATCCCAAAGAGAATGAAGATGGTAAGTGGTAGTCAACTATCTTAAAGAAGCAAGTGATGAGGTCAATCATAGTCAGGGGCTATAATCAGAGGTTCCAAACACCCACTGGGGAATCTCGGGGGGAAAGCATCTGTCTTGTTCTAAGAAGCCCCAAGGAGAAGCAACCACAGAACCAATAGGCAGTTGAGAGAAATATTTAACGCAACATAAGAAAAATATGCTCACATGAGCCAGACAGAATACGTGGGGTAGGAACATGCTGAGTTCTCCATCACTGGAAATAAGCAAGCATGTGGTTCACTACTACTTTGCAGATACCAAATCAAAGTTTTAAGTATCTGATGAGGCAAGAGAAGTCATGAGCTTAAATTTTTTTTTAAACAGAGAAAATGGTGTCTTAAAACATTCTCCTTTGTTGAGTTGGTAATTGCTTCAAAAAGAGACAGAGGATAAATCTACAAAGAAATCAACATCAGGCTGGGGATGTGGCTCAAGTGGTAGCGTGCTGACCTAGCATGCATGAGGCACTGGGTTCAATTTTTAGCACCACATAAAAATGGAATAAAGATATTGTGTCCACAAAAGAAAAAAAACACTAAAAAATAAATATTTTTTTAAAAAAGAAATCAACATTGTTTTCAAAAATCAAAAGTTCCCCTTGTAAAAATCACAAGATACAAAGTCTGTCTAACGGGCTGGACTATTTGTGCCAAAATGGCCAAATGATACCAGGAAGAACGGCAACTGGCAGCAGGCATTATTTTTGGTCATTGCTCAAATGTTCTTCAGAGCCAAGCAACAAAAGCAAGAGGGTAAACAATGGAACTCAATCAAGAGGCAGGCAGTCCCCACCACAAAACTGCCATCTGCTACTGACATCAATCCTTCAAGGGGCAGCTTCAGGTTCCGGCTAACAATGAACACTAAGCCTGGGAAGAAACTGGCCTTGCCACCTTGGACAAGTCATTGAATGTCCCTGGGCCTCAGTTCCCTCATTTCTGAAACTGAGCTCAAACTAGCCATCCTGAACATTGGGTGGGCCAAGAGGAGTGATGTTTGGGGGTGGGGGATGTGTTTAGAAACTATGCACACTGATTTCTGTACACACATCACTAATTACAATGATGAACCAAGAGAATTTTTTGTTGTTTTGCAGTGATGAGGATGGAACCCAAGAGCCCTGCACATGGTAGGCAAGCACTCTACCACTGATGTATAACCCAGCCCAACAAAACAGAATTTGGAAAGAAAATATTTCAGAGGGTTTTGGGCACAGCAGTATCCTGATCTGTCTTGAGGGTGTCAACACTAAAAGAAAAGAATTAAATTCCTTCAAGCATATTACAGATAAATTTAAAGACAAAATCATTTGGACAAGTTTTCTGATGAAACACATTACCTGGTACTTGCTAATTAGTTGTTAAAATAAAGGAGAAAGATAAAAAGTAAAAAAGTTAGAGCAATTAGTGCTTCATTGATCCTCAATTATAAGTTGACTGGCCCATGTAGAAGCAATTCTTTAAAAATGAGATAAGCATGTTTCCTACCAGATGATGCTAACAAAATCCAAACTGTCCAAAACACAACATCCTTTTCTCTACATTGGCATTTTTCATGGGGACAAAATAATCAGTGGCCAACTTAGTCTTATAAAACATATCTGCTAGTCAGACATCATAGTACAGCCTGTAGTTCCGGCAGCTACAGGAGGCTGAAGCAGGAGGATCACAGGCTCTAGGCCAAATTTGGCAACTTAGCAAGTTTAAAATAAAATAAAAAGGAGCTGCGGGTATAGCTCAGTGGTAGAGTGCCCCTGGGTTCAATCCCCAAATCCCCAATATCCAAAAACAAACAAACAAACAAAAAAGCTCCCTCGACTATAGACTGAAACTAGGCTTTTGCATTGAGTTGTCAGATGAATTCAAATCCCTGACCACTAAAGGATTTGTTTCTAAATTTTTAGCAGGGCTGAAACATTCTCAGTCACTGTTTTTGATAATGAACTGAAAAACTAAGAAAGAGGCAACCAAGGAAGAGGAGTGTTTTCTGTTCCTTTTGCCTTAAGGTCTACCCAGAAACGATTAGCATGCCAGGTTTGACTAGAACTCAGAGAAAAAAGACAGGGAAAAATCAAAGCCCTCCCCTGGAGATCACTCCCCTCCCAAAGTTTCCCTGGCATCTGAAGCCTGGATGGCAGCTCCGATGCCTTCTGTTGCTCCCAGGGAAGCCACTGGACTTCCTGGGCATTGAGTCTCTCTGAGTGCAGCAGCACCTATAAGTAGGTGTGGCAACCTCAGTTCCTTTGAGCCCCAAAGACCCAACCTGCTCAACAGTCCCTATGTAACCTCAAAGACAGGCCTCAGCATCCACTGAGGATGTGTGTTAATCTCTTGTGAGAGATCACAACACATCCTGAGTGGAAGCTAGGAGAACCACGACCAGAAAGAACAGGGACACCAAAAGGCACGGTCGGGGCTTCTCTTAGGGCACAGTCACTGAGAAGGGGGAGCACAGTGCATGGAGCTTTCAGGCTTTCCTTTCCAAAGCTGCGCTTAGACCACGTGAGGATGGAAGAAGCCCCCGGGTGGCCTGAATGACAATTCTGCCCGCCTGCATTGAGCTGTGCGATTGTGTCTCTTTTCCTATTTCTCCCAGCTAGCACGATTGAAGGAGTGGCTCCTGAAAGAAATGTGTACTCCATGGCACCAAAGCTGGAACCAGCAGCCAGAGGTCATCTCGCTCTCCCAGCAGGCTTCCCTGGCACCATGGAAGTAAGGCAGCGCCTACCAACCCAAATTGCACGTTGAGGTGTTGGCTTGGAACCAAAGCTGATGACCCTAAATGCTGTGCCCAGAGTGGCTGGGCTGCACACTGCGAGCTAATGCATTTTCTGCACCGAGCTCTCTCTTTATGCCTAAATGCCTGCATTAGTCTGGATCAATACAGCCCATAACAGCTAATCCATGGCAACCCAGGCCAGGCAAGAGACACCGACAAAGAAGGGCCGCCCAAAGATGCTGCCTCCCAGTACACATGCATGTGGATTCCAACCCAGAGAAAGAGGATGAGGCAAAACCACCACCAACAAAAAGGGGCAGGGGAAGGTCATAAAAATATATATATACACATCGATATTAAGGGGCTTTTACCAAGGCGGGGAAAGGGAGGAGGTGGTGACTGTCAAAATGGCCTTAGAGTGACATATCACCGCCAAGATGATGGAGTATCCGCGACACTCCTGAAGTCGGGCGTAGGATCCTCCTCACACACCTGCAATGCAGAGATTGCTGTCCTTCCTCTAATCCACACTCCCAGCCCAGCGCTATCTGCAGTTGAAACCAGTCTGGACTTGTGCGGCTGCCACTGTTCCTTCTCACAATAAGATTATTGATGCATAACAACATTTCATGATGGCAGGGAGGAAAGGGGGGGCACAGTGAGAGAAAGGGAACAGGGAGCAGAAGGAAAAGTCTCAGCCCACGTCTCACCTTTTATTTGGGCTTCATATTCGGCAATGATCTCTTTGTCTTTCTTGAACTTAGTTTGAGATGACATCTTCCGACGTGGCCAAAGGGACTGACAGGCTGTTTGATTTATTTCTCTTTTTCTTCGGGAGTCCTCTCTCAAGCCCTGGTAATCACACAGCTCTGGTCGATTTCACAGGTTTGGAGCTAATCTCTGTAGAACAGCGTAAAAATCCTTCTCCTGGGCTCTAGTAGATTGCTCTCGTCAGCTCTTCTTGCAAAAGAAGAATCACCCTAGGAGCACGGTAACCTGCCCCAGATTTCCAAGATTTTTCTTCCCCACGAAAAAATAATAATCAAGAGCACTCACACTCCCTCTTTCACACACACACTCTCCCACGCGTGCACACGCACACCCATCCAGACACGCTCACACACAGTCCTGCCGTGCACACATGCATCCACACTCACACACACACCCTCACTCACTCGCACGCACACACACTCGCTCACTCACACACACACACACACACACATCTACTGAGAGGCGCGGCGCCTCCTGGGTCGTGCAGGCAGTCCCCAGCTCGCTCTGGGAGGCTCTGCTAAGGAGATGGTCAGGTTGCCAGAGGGCCGGTCATCTCGCATCCTCCCTTCCTTGGGCGCCTCTGGTCTGATGTCCAATGAGGAGATGTCCAATGAGCCAGGAGAGCGAGATGGAAGTTTTCCTGCTGCAACGCTTAAGCTCCGGTGAACCCACGGCTGGACTGCTCGCCCTGCAGGGCTGGCCTAGCTCTCCCCCACCGCCCTCGTCACTAGACTCCGCCTCCTGGATTTTATAACAACTGACACATTGTAGCCTACAGGAGAGCAGAACTCACTGCAAGCAAAAGGGGAAGAAACGCTCACAAAAGGGAAGGAGGCAGGAAAAAAAGAGAAAAGGGATCAGTCTGGGAAGGCCTGAGAGGCTCCTGCCAACTCCAACTATTAGCAGTTGGGTTAAGGGTTTTTCTCCCAAAAGCAAACTCCTTTTCTTTGCAGTGTGCAATTTAATCCAATCTCTCAAATCAACATCTTTATGACAGTATGTTACTCCACCCAAGAGTCTAGCAAAGGGTCCGATACACATAGGGAAGAGCATTAATATTTGTCAAGCCATATTTGATTGCAGGATGATGCCAGGATTTTGGGACACTCAGCTTTGCAAAGCTGTTGGGAGCAAGGCTGCAAACAGGCACAGCTAGGTCCTTGGTTTGTTGAATTTGGCAGATTTCTAACTCCTTTAGCCTCAGTTTCTTTGCTGGTAACACAAGCTCTCTCTGGTTCCTCTTTCATTCTTTCAACAAATATTTACTGAAAGCTTACTCTGGGTCCAGCACCCTTCTCAGGTCAGGATACACCAATGATCAAAATAGAACAAAAAAAAAAAAAAAACTGCCCTTCTGTAGCTCAAGGGTCTCCTCATCACACAATCGCTGAGGAGTTACTACTATTAATACTCATATTTTTGGTGACAACATCTAGAGCCAAATACATTGTGAGTGGTGTCCACTGGAGCTGTGCAGGGCAAGAAGCCTCAGGAAGACAGAAAATGTACTCAAAGAGCAAATGATATAATATGATAAAAACGATAAGGGCTATGGAGCTGAAACATGGCAGGATAGGAAACAACAGTAAAAGGGAAGCTCTTTGGAGGATCAAGTAAGAATGCAAAACCAATCTTAGCACAGTGCCCAGTACATGGAAAAGCACTCAAAGAATGGTAGCAAGTATGAGTGACCCCAACATCGTAGGGTATAAATTGGGTATAAGTAACTAACATAGATATAAATAGCCTGGTTTCACAGATGAATAAGTGGAGGCTGGAATTATGGGAAATGACTTGCCCAAGGTCACTAGCATTCCAGACCAGTCTATGTAAGACCAGATTGCACCTGGGGAAATGTTCCTGGTTTCCACCATAAATCTTTGAGGAAAAGCAAATGCATTTGCAGGCAATTCAGGTAGAATAAGATTTATATGTAAAAAATGGAATCAAACACTATAGGGTCACTGATCACTGGAATTTCATAGTAAGATTGTCATAAACATGTATTGTCCCCTGAAAGAAATTTTCATAAACTTCTCAAAATAAATATAGGCTTCCATTGGTCTTTCTCTGAGTGTAGAATACCTGATTTGGTTTGGCCTCAGAACTGAATAGATTATCCAGTGTATGGGGGCTTCCTAGGGGAGGTGGCAGCTGTAATGGGTGGCCCCAGATAGGCAATGGAGAAAGGAGTGAGGTGGAACAGGGTATTCCTATGGGGTGGTCAGCGTGAGCCAAGGCCCACAGGAGGGAAAGCACAGGATCTGCTCAGAGCAGGGACAAGTCCAACTGATGAATCATAAAGCTTATTATAGCTTTGTGCCCAGAGACAGGAGGTCACAGAGTTCATAAACAGATGCCATAGCCCACATCCTCCTGCCTCACCCTTCCCAGGGGCATGCTTGGGCCCTCTGCTATGCAGAAGCCACATATGTCACCTGAAAAAGATATGCTCAGAGATTAGCATCTCTGACTCAAGCCTAGATTCAAAATAAAGTGGAGGATAGTTAATGCCATATTCCTTGAAAAGTGACAAACTGGATTCCTTCCTGGCTCTGCCATGAGCCTCAAGTTCATGAGAGCTTGAGCAGGTGACTTAACCTGCTTGTGCCACTGGTGTCAGGAACACAGTAAATGTCAGCTCTCCTCACCATGGTGAAAATTTAAAATCCACAAATATTTCTAAGAGACTGACATGTAGTGAACTGAGTAACAGAAATATCATAAAAAGCCACATGAAACTAAAAAAGTAGGGTATAGAGCTATGTACTGAAAGGTCGGAAGAAGCTAGATTCTGGAGTAAGATGGATAATGATTTATATTCTTGCTCTCCCACATCACAGCTGTGTGTGGGGTCTTGGTGGCTTCTGTATCTTTTCTGAGCCTCAGTTTACTCACCTGTCAAATGACAGTGATCTCACCCATGGTACAGGATACAATGTGCCCACAGATTTAAAGTGCCTGACCAGAGAGCAGAAGTTCCAAGAATGTCATTTCTGTTTTAGGCCCTAACCAAGTTGGGCCAAGGACCAGGGCTTAGGTTCCACAGACACAGGAGTGGGAAGAGAACAAAGAAGAAAAAGGTTTTGTCCCCCAGGAAATCTATCACTGTGCACAGTGATCCCACATCATCTCAAATCTTCTGCCCCTGAGAAGAGGTGAGTATCCTCGGCCTTTTCCCAAAAGAACTAAAATCAGCATACTATAGGAATACAGCCACCTCAATGTTTATAGCAGTACAATTCACAATAGCTAGACTATAGAATCAACCCAGATGCTCATCAACAGACAAATGGATTAAGAAATTGTTGTAGACAAGTAGATTAAGAAATTGTGGTATACACAAAGAATATACACATTCTTTATTCCACTCGGTCATAAAGAATGAAATTATGGTATTTGGTGATAAATGGAGGAAGTGGAGAATATCACGCTGAGTGAAATAGGCCAAACTCAGGATCTCAAAGGACAAATGTTTTCTCTCATATGTGGAAGGGAGAGTAAAATAAAGGAGGAAGGAAGAATAGGATATCATAAAGATACAGGGAAGATCAATAGTATAGAAGAAGATCGAGGGGCAAAGTAGAGGAATGGGAAAGGAGAGATATGGAGAAAATTCTTTAAAAATCATGTTATGGGCATAAATAAATATACCACAGGGAATTTCACCTTTCTTTGGAAGTCAAAAGAACCAACCAAATATTAATAAATAGATGAGTGAAAGGAAGTCTAGTAGAGTAGAGGAAGAAGAACGGGGGAAGGGAGGGAGGATGGGAGAGAAAAGGAGGTGATCATGAACTGAAATCGAATTCCATGCATGTGTGATTACGTCAGGATGAACCCAAATATTATACATGACTATAAAGCTCTAATAATAATTTTTTTAAAAAGAAGAGGTAAGTGCCTTAGGCAGGTCCCCTGGCACCATGGCCTCCCCCTTTTCCCTTCCTCTATAGATCACTCCAGTCCCCCAGCTGCAACAACTCCCTCTGCATGGCCACTTGCTCCTTGGTGCATGTTTATTTCTACACGTGGTACTAACAGAAACCAGATTTTCTGCAAATAAGTGTGGTCTGCACAATACGGGAGGGCTTTGCCGTGTGATTTCACCTGTGCCCCTCCTGCCCCCCAACCCCGAAAGGAGTATTCCATTCCCTCAGGCTCATTTCCTGAATTCTTTTAGATATTCCTGAGTTATAAACTAAGAACTAGTATTTAGGGAGCCCTCCCTCCATACAGATTTTATCACTGACTTCTTGCAACAACCCAGTCAGTCAGGTCCTATAATCATCCTTGATTTAAAGGTACAGAGTAGTGAAATAATTTGCCCCAGAAACTGATTGCTTTCAAGCCCAGGTCTGTCCAATACCAAAGCCTAAAGAACTACCCAGTGCACAATTCTATTTCAGGGAACAGTTGTAAGAATTATGACTATCAAACATTAACATATTTTTGCACTCTATGTAAAATATTTTTTTCACTGTATACATGAACAATACAATGTTCAATCTAAAGTTTTCTATTAAAAATGGGGATTAAAAATAGAATGAAAACACATCACAAATGACCACTGATTAGTAAGGCTTAAATTAAATTAAGGCTTAAATTACAGCTGAATAGACAAAATTCACTGAACTGGTTCCTTTTCCTGGTAAGGAAGGGGTGGGGGAAGACTCCACTTAAAGAAGAATGACTAGAATAGATTTTGGTTTAAGCAATTTTATTTTTCTGGTCAAATAGGAACACCCTCCAACCCTCAAGATGACTAATTTTGTGAGATTTTTTTTCCATGTTTCTACTAACTAATGCATCCTCAGCCCCCTCAGTGAATAATTCTGCCCTTCACTTCTCAGCTCTGCACAATGAAAGCAACAAGGCAACTCAGCCAGTTAGTGCCACAATTGGATTCAATTGATAGTGAGGATGACATGTCTCATGTGTATATATTGCTTTATATTTTGTAAAGTCTTTTTATAACATTTGTCTTATTTGGTCCCCACAGTAACCCTGGAGGCAAGGAGGGCTATTTTGAATCCCTGGACAAGAGATGGATAAGTGGAAGCTTTGATAGGAGAAACATTTTACAACTTTAAGTTTAAGGTTGGCCTTCCTAACTGTATCACAAAACTCAAAAGCCAAAAGAGTCTGGCAAATTCAAC